AAACAAGAAAGTAGAAAATATACAAAATGGATAGGATAGCATCATCTGTCAATCACAAACTGGAACTATTGGATGGAGAAAGTGGACGGATGTCGTAAAACCTCAAAGGACAGATTTTATTTTTACAAACGTATGTCCTGATCGCTCCCTAATGTTTGCTTTTTTTTACTGTTTTTAAGGCATTTCGGACAGACAAACTTAAGATGTACAATCGCTATGTCTTGAAAAAACACTAATTGTTTGTTGCCAAATGTCAATAAAAAATATATTGAAAAAAAAAGTAATAATAATAGATTACATTTGTATAGCGCCTTTCAAGGGACCCAAGGCCGCTTTACATGGTGAACAAACAAAAAAACAAACAAACAAACAAACAAACGGGGCAAATAATAAAGTAAAGGGAAAGTAGAAAATATACAAACTACGGACCATTTTGAATCGGCATTCAGCTAATCAAAAAAGTATAATGAAATATGGCCCCCAAATGAAAGTTGTGCTTGTCTTAAAATGTAGTTCTTAAATATAAATGTAAGAATACATCACACAGTAGTATTCATGTGTTAATGAGACCACTTTTCAAAGAAATTCTGTCAATTAAAGTTGGAAACATTCTCTAACAAATCTTAGTTGATAAGCAAAAAGCCCAATAACTTATTTCCATAACAAGCTTGAAATAAACCCTTCCTATTTCTCCTTATTATAATCACTCTGAGGCGTGTTTTTAGGGATGAGCTGCCAACACTCACAAGCATCATGTACCTGCATTTGATTGATTCTGCTAACTTATAACTGAACTGATGAGGCGATATACCTCGAGTGAGCGGCCCAGCCCTCGCATATTTTTCTGTATGTGGCCCTCTGTGAAAAACGTTTGGACCCCCCTGATGCAGAGAAAGTAGAAAATATACCTGGTTCGCTGCGTTCCACCATTGCTCTTCAGGTTTTTCCAGAACTCTCAAGATGTCGCCTTTTTTGAAAGGAAGATCCTCGTCATCGTTTCCGGGGAAATCGAAAAGCGCACGGACGAACTCGGCCTCGTCGGACTGAACGGGAGGGCCGGCCGACGCGCTGACGAACCCCGTGTGTTTGGATTTGTTTATGGGCTCTATGAGCGTGGTGGTGTCCAGATAGTGGATTTTGTAAAACTCCAGCAGGGCGGGAAGAGCCTCGAACTCCTGGTCGCCGATCCGAAACCGAGGAGGAGCCAAACCTGGTGGAAGAGAGGGGGATTAGTTTTAAGTTTAAAAGGCTTTATTTTCATTTGCTCAGCAGCTACAGTGTAGAAATGACATATTCGATCTCAGAGGGTTAATGGCAAACAAGCAGCTGGAGTGTAAATATTTAAAAGGCTTGTTAGATTCAAGGCTTTATTGTCATTTGCACATTAGCTAATGTTTTGAGATGTGCAGTTGAGATTGTTGTAGCATTAAATCAGGAGTTAGTGCAGATGGGTAAACCGAAGTCCACCTTCAAAAAAAAACATCGCATTTCCTGTTTTTTCTTTTCACATAATCTGAAGAAATCAGATTCAGAATTTCTTTATTAATCCGAGGAAATTTAGAATTTGGTAAAATGCTAACTCATACATGGGGTTAGGACTTAATCCTGCACCTAGTTATAACAGTAAATGCTAAATAATGCTGGACAGTAGGGCTGTCCCGAATACCATTTTTCGGGCTCCGGATATTCGTTAGTAATCAGCAGCGAATATTCGACCCGCGCGGGGGGGGGCGTAGTAATCAGCAGCGAACCGCTTCAACACGTGTATTTCAGTTTTATTCACGGCATTCATTTTGTTATTCTACAGTACTGTTGTTTTATAGTTATTTGTTAATGTGTAACCCAATTTGTTTTCTTTGAAATTGAAAAGGATATCGCATTGTGTTTCTTTCTTTCGTTGCAGTTGTATATGTCTTAAGTGTAATTTGGCTTGGCTTCCTATTTTGTATGGACATGCTTTTATTTTGAAGGAGAGTTAGCGCTGTTGACAGGAAGTTGTTGTTGCTATGGAAACAACGTGACAGAGATTAACGGAGAAAAGTAATATCTACA